AATATAAAATAAAAAATATTTTTGTAAATAAAATTATAAAATATACATTAAAATAAAGATTTTTCATTTATTATATATGGTGTAAACTGAAGTTTTAGTTATTGTAGATTTTTCAATACTGTGTAGACAACTTGTTGCACCAAAGTCTACACTGTATCGAGTTTCACTGTGTACTTGGAGTTTTCTTTTCAATATAATAATATAATAATATAATAATAAATAACCAATTAATTGATATATATATATAAATTTTTTTTGAAATTACCTGGTCAGGATTTTTAAACGGACTACCAAATGCACGTTTATCTTTCTTTTTTTTATCATTTGGATCAAAGTCATAATATAAATCTCTTAATAGAGATTGTTTCCTTTTAACAATAACATCCCTGTAATTTCCCATATCACCAGTACCTAATGTGTGAACAGGATCTATAATAATAACAACAAAGTTAATACAAATACAAGCTAATATTTTATATATGTGTGTGTATATATATATTTGTACCAGCTTCAGATTGTGTTTCCAAAAGATTCAAAAATTCTGCTCTAGCAATTGTAGTCAATTTTGCAAGAGAAGAATGACCAACTTTCTGATATAAACATGACTATTTTAAATGTAAATTACTCATATAAATATTGTATGTAATATATAAAATTAAAAATAATTCATGATTCTTATTATGACATACTTTTTCAACCATTGGTATTGGTTTAAATATATTCTGTATTTAAAATAAAAATAACAAAATAATAATATTAATGATTTTATATATTTATATTATGAACAATGAATAATGAACTATATGATAACAAACATACCAAACGATTTGCTGATACTTCTTCTTTTATCTGGTCAAATTTAACAACAGCAGTTTGTGTGATTTGTCTAAGATATATGTCAAGCCCATCAGTGAATGGACGTCTATAAGAAAACGCTGTAATATCCAATTTACAGTTTTGAAAAATTTGTCTCAACCCCTAAAGAAAAATATGATTGTTTATTTATTTAATTTATTAAACATATAGATATATCAAGTTATTATTGAATTACCTGATAATAGTACCATGGTATATTTTGTAAATATTTTGCTAACTCAAGAATACAATATGATGAAGGTGTAACATTTGGTTGAATATTATCTTTGATATGATATAATATAAATACATTATTAAATTTTTCTTATATGAATAGATATAATATATGTATAAAATTATTATGTAAAAATGGATAGACACATACAACGGGCAATTAACTCTCCTAATTGTTCAAAATTATATGGCAGGATTACAAGACTTACATCCAAACTAGATTCATCCTTTTGTGTGGCAATAAGATAACCAAATGGATAACCAAGGCGTTCATATTTACTGCTATTTTCAACATATACCTACAAAATCATATAAATAGACTTTATTAAATATTTTTTTTTTGAACCTCGATTTTATAATACATACAGGCCACTTGATTCCTTGTGGTTGAACTTTTAAATCTCTTGTTATTTGGCAATCAGACACAACATATATGTCACGTGGTATGAATGATGGTAATTCGTTTAACTTTGAGGCAAATTGATTATCTCTAATAAATGTTAATGTTGGTATTGAAGATCTTTTAACCTAATAATTTTTTAATTGAAAAAAATGGTTTTTCCTATTTCAAGAAAAACAATATATATATATATATATAACTGTAGAAATTTTGAATTATTGTATCATACCAAATTATTGTTGATGGGGTGTGTTTTTAATACTTCAGAATCGAACCAAAAATTTTCAGGTATTGGATAAAATCCTGATTGTCTTGCAGGGTCAACATATAACTGCACAAAATGATTCATACGTTGAGATGAACTATTTCCTACTATTATAAATAAATATATGAATGTATTAATGAAATCATTTTGTCATCAAATAATATAAATATATTTATATATTATTTTTTTTTATTAGGCCTACTTTGAGCTTCTGAAAAAATTAAATGTACTCCGCATGTTTGAAATATTGAATATTGACATGGATTTTTTGAAAGTTTATATGGCTCTTTTTCGATACCTAGTATACTTCTTATAGCGTGTAACATTTGTCCTCGTGTATGTATATAATACATATGTCCTAAATATCCAATCAATTGATTGATCAATAATCAATTCATTCATTTTATTTTTGTGTTGAAAACTTTATAAAATTACTTGCCACGCATAACCATATTAATCCAATCCAAACTTGGTGGTGGTATTTCTGTAATTGGATTTTGTGGATTTTGAAATTGTGTAATTAAGAATATATAAAGTTTTTGATCCCAACGAAATTTTGTTTTGTAAATTGTTGCACTAGGTGATTGAGATTCGGAACCCTGTGTAAATGATTTTTAAATATATCATTTAAATCAATATGCCATAAACAAACAGAGATACAAAAAAAAATTTTTAAATACCTGATATGTAAGATCTTTATTTAACCAACTCATATTTTTACCATCAGTAAACCAAAATATATTTGTTGTTTCATTATGTTCAACATAGTTACCCTAATATAAATTTCAATTGAGTAAAGAAATTATTAAGAGGTGAGATGGTATTAGGATAAATATTTTATCAAAATGTGTGTGTGAGATTAGGAGAAACCAAATTCTCTTATAATTATAGTACATATTTTTAAACGAACCCTATAGGGTGAATCCATATTACGAACAATTCTACGCAGGCTAAGTAGTTCAAAAACAATGTTAAGACCTGAACCATAATAAGCAGGATCTGTAGGACCCAATAATTCAAGTTGTTCTAAGAATGTGTGTATTGAGTCATGAAATTCAGTCTACTTTGGATGGAAATATATATATATATATATTGGTTACTAAATTATTGTTGATTAATGCTATGATTAATATATTTTAGGTATATTAATTGTACATCTACCTTTAAACAACACTGTCTTTTATTTGAAGTAGCCAAGATACATTTAAAGCCAATATTTTTACCACAATTTGCATATTGCTAAAATCAATAAATAAAAAATGTGATAATTATTTAAGCATGAATAAATAATAAAAGGATCTTATTAGATACCTGTATGAAATATTTTATTCCTAATTTTGCAATATCCAATGGAGAAGAATCGTTTGCATATATTTTGTCAATGCAGATATCCACTAGGAAGACATTGTTCATTATAGGCTCGGGTTGTTGCATGACTATTAATATTATAAATAATACACTTTTTTTCAATTAATGTATGTAAAAATCAAAAAAAAAAAGAAATTGGATTAAGATTCCTTTTTATGCAATCAGTCAGTGTGTAACAAAAAAACCCGTAAATTTTTTGGTGCAATTTAGAAAAATGATGTTTTTTGTTTTTTCTAGCAGCCAATTGCCACTACATTCTATATAGAGATCATTTCTGAACTTATCACAAAGATTGAGATGCTGATTTGATTTAAATCGGATTTTTGAAAGTCAATTATTTTAAGCTCAAAATTTATTCATGAAGACTTCAATTTAAAAATGCGCTATTAGTTATGTGATGATTATTCAACAATGTTCATATATTGAAACACTAAAATTTTTGGTGAGTTTGTTAAGCAAGACACAGGTATGAATGCTAAAAAACTCCAATGAATTAGAATGACTTTTGGCAAATTAGTGAGAAATGAATTTGCTGATTTTTATAATTGAATTTTTAAATGGAATAAAATTAACTTCATTGCCTAATATTAAAAGCAATTAAAATAAGTTTCATATAAAATTTATATTAATAAAAACTTCTGATTTCCAGCTTTCTTTTCGATATATTTTTATCTATTTTCATTCAACCATTATTGAGAACAAAATAAATAAAAGATTTCTGGTTTTTTTTGTTACACATTGTATTTTGCAAAACTTATTTTATTTTTCTATATATGCCTTCCATCTTAGACACTTCCATTTTTGTTGTCCATAAAACTCCAAGCCTGCTCGAGTTGTTGGAAGACATAATTTAGATGCTGTTGGAATGCCTGAACTGTACTAACTTTGAATTTTGACATATTCCCGATTCATGTGCCAATAGCAGGATCATTACCAAGCCATTTTTCAAGCCTTCCTTTTGTGTCTTATCTATAGTAGTAGTAAATTTTATTGCAAAAGATTAATTCATTAATTATACATATCTCTCCTAATTTGGTTTTCATTCTCTATTTGAGCACTGAAATGATTCATTTTCTTTATTCACAGAATCAATCAGCTTTCAAGGTTTGCATTAATATGATCAGGCATGGTCACATACAATTGTTGTACAAGATGAAATGACAAAATGTCATCCTGACTGATATATTAATATGAATTTAATTAACAGTTCACAAAGCTAAATAGAAGTAACCAACTTCCTATAAGCCATTGCAAGTTTAATATTGGAATTCACACTTTCAACACCAATTGATCAATCACCCCAGTCATGCCTTTAAGGATTGTTGGAAAAAATGCTTTATGGAGGAGGTGAAGGTTATATATAAATTTTAGCCTCATTTTGTAAAGTCTATTTAAGCACAGAGTACAACAAAAGTATATGATATTTGGATATTTTTAGGAGGCTTCCTGTATATTGATGAAATTCTTAAAAAAGTTGTCCAGATACTTCAAATTAAGTAAGAAAGGCATATGAAAAAAAAATCATTAATGATGAAGATGGTAACTAAACAATAATTGTATCAACAAAAATAGTCAAAAAACTTGTAATAATAATGTCATGTGGTTTTTTTGTCAAGCATTTTTGTTAATTCATAAGAATTTCAATCATAACAAGATCACATTCTGGATCAAAATGGCTTCACTATCTCTTATGGCAAGGGCTTTTATGCTACAACATGTTATAAAAAAAAAAAATACAAGTTAAACTATTATCTTGACATATCTCAACTCTTGCAAATTATGTATCTCACATCTCATGCTTGGAGTCAGAGGAAAAAACAAAATTATTTGCAAGATCATATTACTTATGTCACAAATGGGTAAGGTTGTGGGCGAAACCTCTTAATGACTGTCGAAACTCTGTCGAAACTCTAATGAACAATTAATGTGTAACCTGTCAAAACTCTGATGATTGGCGAAAACCCCAAATGCGAAACTCTGCCGAAACTCTAATAAACAATTAATGTGTAACCTGTCAAAACTCTGTCGATTGATTTCTGGAGGAGTTTCTCCCGCAACCTTACTCACACACATATATAAACTATTATTAAATTATTAAAAATATATATAATAATAAGAAAAAACAATATTTTTTTTATTACTTCAAAGATTACAAAGAATCCTCAAAGAAAAACAAAACTAGGTTATAAAAAATATTACAACTAATATATAGAACATGATAATCAGGTAAAGAAATAATATATATATACGCACACACATACATACATATATATAAACTATTATTAAAAGTATATTTATTTTTATTATTATTTCAAAGATGACAGAGGAAAACAAGGCAGTGTATATATAAAATAATAGTTATACTTCATGTGCATATTTAATACTATTAAAGATTTGTCATTAAATTTACATGTAGGAAAAAAGGATATTATTATTATTATGTATTTTATGTAAAGGAATGTTACTGAAAAAAACATATGCGTAGCATTTATAATTATGCATTCTGCTTCATAATAAAGAATTCACATCTACATTTTACCATTAATTAAACATATCATTTTCAATAAAAGTCTTAAAAGGATAAATTATTTTATTTCTTTCTCCAACAAAGTTGTGATATTTTTTATTAATATTAATAAAGAAAACCAAATTCCAAAGTTTATATTGTTTTAAAGTTGTATACATATATAAAAGCTTGTAAATAGTATGTGTAATGTTGAAAATACAAAGAAAAAATATTTTTTACAACCGATGGTGTTTTTTTGAAGCTTTAGAAAAGATACTTTGAAAAAAATTATATCAAAAGAAAGCTGAAGATTTTTTCTTACAAGTATGAAAATTTTAAGATTAATTTGTGAATTTTTGGTGTACAATATGTACATGTTTCACGCTTTATTTATTTTTACTAATAAACACTAGTAATTTCATAGGGGTGACAGTTTTGAAATTGACAAATATATATGTGTAACATTCAGTTGTCCCCCCATATATTTACTTACCCCTAGGTAATAGTAAACTGAAAAAATCCAAAAGCTATGGTGGATCAAGGAATCCTTCATCCAAGGGCAGACTGCAATAATGCTAAGCAAGTAATGTTCATACCTTATCTATTGGAGATAACAAGCTAGTTCATAATATAATTGTTGTTAAGATTTGATCTCATTCTTGAAGATCAAGTTCCTTCGTGTATGAAAGTAAGCTATATTCTTCACTGTTCATGTGATAATTTATCATCATGTGTCATCCTAATGATTTGGTTCTTGACAGGCATGGCATTTTTGTGCCTCAGATGATGGGGGACACCAAAAAAGTACAACTAGAAATATGGTAATGCTATATACATTGGTAATATTTAATGCATATAATTGATTGATTATTGATTATTAGTTCGAATTGGTACCCATGACACGAATAATAAATAATCCTTTGGATATCCAACAAAGTAGAACATGTGTCATCAACATTCAATTAACTGTCTATATCATGATTGGAATTATCCTATTCAAATTATTTGACATTTAACAAAGGGAAATAAAAGGATATTACAGATAGTCTTTAGATAGACTGCAAATTCAATTCAGTGTTTTCATGTATTAAATACAAAGCTTTATTCAAATGCAAATTTTGTTGAATGAAATTAAGAATTTATTATTATTATTTATTTATAAATTTTACAATATATATAATATTACTATAGATGGGTGTCTAAACTAAATTATTTAGACAATGTCTAAAATATAAATTAATTTAGACATTTAGACAATCATGGCCTTAATTGTCTAAAATGTTGAAATTGAACTTTGTGGATTTTGTGTATATACATGTGACTTTTAGTTGTATTTAAAGCAAATCATTACTATTTATATTAATTTAGACATTTAGACATTTTTGTCTAAATACTATTTATTTTGACTTTAGACAACCCCAAAAACAATTTAGATGCCCATCTATAATAATTACTGATAATCATTATGTTTGCATATGATTTTTGGAAATTAATATATATTTCTTTTAACAAGTCTGCTTTAATAAATTTGTAAAAGAAGAATTTATTTTTTTGCCAGAAAAATCTTTATTGTGGAAAATTTTGTCAAGAAAACTTATGATAGTATTATTACTACCGATTATTGGATTATTTTTTTGAAATCTGAAATAGTTTAACAACTTTAGTTTAATACTAATATAAGAGCATTGGATAAGCAATAGAATCGATTGCATAATTTATAACGGTCATTGTCATTATTCTTTTCAAAGAACTACACATTCATTCTTCAACAGGTTGTTTAGCCCATTAAAAGCATCAGTTGTATATCAATAAAATTAAAACTTATCACATAACAATTACAAAGTCATAACAATTATTCCTTAATATCAAGCCAACAATTGCCCTATAAAAAATTTTGTCAAAAAATGTATATGTTTTCCGCAGGATTATACATTAAAATAGCACTTTTCCATACATATTTGCACTGAAAATGCACTGAAAATGTATGAAAATACATGGAAATGTACAGAATATGTGCGGAATCTTTGGAAAGTGACCTGAAAAATTACATTCCGTACATTTTTCTATGCATTTTCCGTGCATATTCTGTGCTTAGCATTTATGAAAATGCATGGAAAATGCACAGGAAAATATACAGAATGTATTTTCAGGTCATTTTTAGGACAAATATGTATGGAAAAGCACTCTTTTCATGTATAATTCTGTATATATTCCATACAAAGTGCACAGAAAATGTATGGAAAAACATACATTTTCTGTTATAGTGTTGTTAAACATGATCTATTATCTGCCTAGCAGGTTGAATTGGTAATTAAAACCGGATTTTTAAAGTACTATTTCCAGCCCTGCTGGGATTTATATTTGTACATGTACATACATTAGTATGAACTTAAAAATTTTTTTAGTATATTGTATGAACTATCATGTAATAATTTAACAGAAATTAAAAAAGATGTACATCATTTTTTAATATAATCTCTAATTTCCGTTTTCCATCAAAACTTATTGCTAGATGATCAATACTTTGGATGTCTAAGTTATAAAGTTCATCATCCTCAATGATGTAATTTTTCATAATTTTTCAAAGCTTTAAACATCAAAATAAAAGATGTATTATGGAATTAACTACTTATATGCTTGAAGAACTGATTATATTTTTAAATCTATTATTAATTATTTGGAATTAAAAAAGAATGCAGAGGTATTTTTTTTTATTACAGAATATAATAATAATAATAATAATAATAATAATAATAAAAGAATTTTGTTATAACAAGACATTGCTTATATAGATAGGGAGAGTGAAGTTTTTTTAGGATAATATATTTTTTAGAGTTATTTATATGATATAAGGAATAAAAATAATAGTAACAATAATAAAATTATTAAATTGTCACATTTCTGAAGTGTGACAAAATTGGATATGCCCATATGGGGTCTGGACAATAGAAAATGATGTTTTGAGAAAATTTAAAAAAAAGATCTGCATTTCAAGTAATTTACTATTGTTTTTAAAACTTTAATGGAGGGTATCTCAAAGTTTTATTAAGCAAAGTGGGTATGGTTTCTAAGCCAAAAATGTTCTACATGAGGAATTACATATAATAGTGATACTAACTCAAAATTGCTTTTTTCACAACATGGTCCGTTTCTATTGTCCACACTCCATATATGGAAAATTTTAATAATCACGTTACTAAATTTTGATCCCTGAAATTTTTGGTAACACCAATGTTCACTTTGTCTGTTTTGTTACAGTATGCCTCATATAATAAAACATGATAATGAACTAGTATTATTACAATCACCCCAATATATTATTAAAGGTTAGGGTACAGTTACATGCTTTTACATAATAATTGAAAGGATAAATAAAATGTTGTTCAATACATACAATATTGTCTCCTCCAAAGATAATTATCAATGAAAAGGTTTCTAGCATTTCCTTATTAATGAATTGATTGTTTTCATAAAATACATACAGTCAACCCTTGGTCACAGAGGATGAATGGGACATATAAGAAAAAATTTAAAAATCTGTTACATCTAGAGGTTGTAATCAACTAAAATAGTCAACTAAACTTTTTTTTGAACAACTAATAGTCAACTAAAACAGTCAACCAAATAGTCAACTATTTTAATCAATTATTTAGTTGACTACTAATACTACTAACACTAACACTAACACTAACACTAACACTAACACTAACACTAACACTAACACTAATACTAATACTAATACTAATACTAATACTAATAATATGCAAATATTATTATTGTCTGACCAATTATGATTTTTGTGTTTTATCATTCAAAATGGAAAATTTCTATGCGGAAGAGTATTAATACCATCAATATGATGATGATGACAATAGTAGTGTGTTGTTGTTGATAATTTTACATGTGAATGAATAAACACTTCCAATACAAGGTCCAATAGTTCATTGGCTTTAGATCATATTATTAATGGAAAGATCTTCACTCATGAGTATGAGTACTCAAGTGTTACAAGAAAATATTTACCTATCATATTTTAGACAAAACGCGATTAAAATGAAAATTATTTATTTTATCTACAAAACGCGATTAAAATGAAACTTGTTTATTTTATTTGCTTTGGCGAATATTGATTTTATTTATTTCTCAGTTTCTTGGTTATATTAAGAAAGAAAAGCTGAGAACAGAGTCTTATTTATTATTTAATTTGTATAACGAATTTTAATTTTCATAGTTAATTATCATGTCAACATTCCAGTTTAATAATAAAATAACTGAATAACATATAACAAATAATAAATAATAAAAATCAAAAAATTAAATAATAAAGTATACCAACTTGTCACATTTAAACGAATTTTATATCTGAAGCAAAAATCCGTTGTAACATGATAATTCGTTGAACTGTAATAATGTTATAAATAAATATAACTAATGTTTCAAATTTATTATTCATAATTACCTAATACTAATAGTGTTGATGTACTAAAAATCCATTCGAGGAAAGTAATTTTGCTGCAATAGATATAATTATTATTTGTGTTACAACGAAATTTTAAACTTTTTTTGCTTCACATAAAAAAACAAAATTTGTTGAACACGACTAGTAAAATTTTTGGTATATATAATAATAATGACAATAATGAGTGTTCAAAAAAAAAATTTCAAGCCGATCATATTATATTAAGTATTCGTCATACATTACTCATAGTAAGCTAATACTAAATAGTCAACTAATTAGTCGACTAAAGAAATTTCTGGCCAACTAGTAGTCGACTAAAGATTTTTTGGACAATTCCAACCTCTAGTTACAACAAGAATTTGATAATAGTCCGCTGTGACTGTAGGCAACCTGTTAATCCGAAGGCGTTTGTGAGGGCACTTTTTTTTTGGATTAACAGGATATATGTATTAAAAAGTAAAAATTACAGTTTAACGGGGTAATTTACATATATTTGGCTTTGTGTTTTAAAACTTTCATTTTAACGGTTTTTTTGGATTAATGGGTCACTTATGCGCCAAGAAAGCTCCTTCATTTTGATATAACAATAGGTAGAACAAATAGTATACATTATTATCTTGTTATTGACTTCCTTTAAATCATCTTAGTTGATAGCAACATTTTGGAAAAATTCTATTTTTGAACATGGGATATCTCATCTGGTTGATAGTAACATTTCGGAAAAACCCTATTTTTAAATTAGGCTGTATTTAATGCTTCCAAATTTACATACTAATAAGTCTAATATCGCTGAGAACTCATTGGTAAAGACTTAAATAAATTTGGTTTTTGAGGTTTAATGATGTATGTTTATTATTAGTAGTGATTAAATTTCGAATTATTATCTTTGCTGATCATTAATAAAATCACATGACTACACTCTACCCTTAATAAAAATTCTTGCCTAGTTCAATTAATCAACAACGAACGATCAACATTTTTACCGATCCTTACATAAACACGTGTTATATACATAAATGCAGTTCATTTATATCATTTTAACAGACAGATTGTCAAAAACCGATAATTTACTTGTTTACCATTGTTAAGATTATTAAAAAATTTATTCTGATGGATATAATGTACAGAAGGTTTAGCGTGACATGGAGGCTGTGAATCTTAAATGAAATGGCGTTTTTGGTTTCACCTTCTCTATGATCAAATTGTAGAAAAAAGATATGTGGACTAACGTAAGTACATAATTTTTGGCATTCTAATGTTCTAATTTCATATCATGATTTTTTAACTCAAATGATGACTTATGTTGCAAAGGTACGAATTAAAATAATTTCAATGATGACTTTGAAAATCATTAATTTTATTTTAATTTATCTATAATTTTATTCACAAGTTATTATATATGTAGAATGATTCTGGAGTATATATCCATTGAGATCTTCTGTGACAACAACCCCGTGAGGAAAACGCGAACTTATTGAAGCCGTGCTAAATCTGCACTACAAGCTGCCTTAGATTCTTTAACCAGGGTGACAAGAAGACACTTGCATAGACAGGGAAAGGATAGTTCGTTTTATTAAATCTATCGATATGATAGATTTAATATTACTCATTTCATTTCTTCGAAAATATTTTTTTAAGGACTCTACAACTTGCAATTGTATACAATCAGGAAGGGATCCAAACAGACTTGACTATTAAAATTTTCCGCTATCACTTGGGTGACAAGACGATATAACTTTTATCATACATGGAAATGAAGCTTGAATTAAAATATCAAAGGTTATTTTCCAACTCTGCAAAATTTTACTTGTAAGGACACTATGTGACCTTTTTAAAATTTGGTTCTTAATGTTTTATTTTTTGCATTGTCCTGGTATTATTATTATCTGAGCAATGCAAGCTATTTATTTGATTTATCAATTTATTGTTTCTTTGTAAAATTTAGGGTCTATGATAAGAGAAAAGAAAAAGAAATCCAAAGGATATATACGATAGAGTACCTTTTCTTTTTGTTAGCAAGGAATTGCTCTTGGCTCTAAAAGAAAACTTGATTAGTGAATTGGTGATTGTTGCTGGCTTTATCAAGAGAAAGTGTCTGTCTACGGGTAATCCTGGAAATAAATTTGTCAAGTATTTTGGCAAATTTCCCAATGTGAAATTGAGGTAACAGAAATCACACCTCTTCCTAGGAAAGGAGAAGGTTATTTTCCTTACTAGTGGGATTGAATTAAAGAAAGGCACCTTGACTTTGATATCTTATTGATGGCAATTTATCTATAATAACTGAATCACAGAAAACCTTTTCTACAAATGCGCGGATTATTTGCAAGTCCCAAATATTCATCATCTAGAAGCCGGTGCCAATGATTTATTTAAAGAATGAAACTTTTGAAAATGCAGTAGCAAAATATAATAACCATGCCTCAGAACATACATATATACAAAGAGAGAAGTTGATGATGATAAATCTATGATTAGTGGTTGCAATTATTATTATTATTTATTATATTTTTTCAAAAAACTAAAAAAGAAAATCCACAATTATATGTCAAAGATTTCTGTTTTTTATTAGGTAATTTCATTTTGCTTTCTTTTCCTAGTATCCATTATTTTCTTTCTTCTTGGTAAACTCCATAGGTGATTTTCTTTTTCCTTTGATAATCTTCAAAACAAATACATTAGGGACAATTTTTCACCTTGTTCTTTTTAAATATATTTCTAATATTGGGTATCATGTAAATTAAGTATTTTTATATAGAGTATCTTTTAAAGCAAAGAATAATACCCTACTCTGCTTATACTTCGGAGTTTATTGAATGATTGGAGTGTGGCGTTTTCAACGCTTTGTCCCACAAAAATTATTCTGTGGCGTCATTTGCATTATACCATATTAATACATGTTGTTAATATATTCATATTCATAAATTTTCACATAAAAAAAATTTCCTACACACATAATTAATAATAAATAATAATAATAATAATAATAATAATAATAATATTAAAAAAATTAAAAAAATGGCGACAAATTATAATATAAATGCAATCACCAGACCTTATAAACCTAGAAGAATACGTTTGCCAAATCCTAATTGGCATGAAGATTTTTATCGAAATGGACGGCCTGATGAAAAGGATGTTATTGTCATTACAGACTCACCAACTCCTTCACAACTACTACATCAATTACCACAATTACCACAACTTCAACTACAACAAATCAGACATGTTTCCCCTATACCACCACCTAGACAAACTAGACAAATTGAAACAAGAACATTTAAGAGAAAAGCTTCACTTCTTCCTGACGACGAAAGCATAAATCATCAATACATACCACTATCATCGTCACAATTTGAAGCAATAACACCTGCTTATAATAAAAGAAGAAGAAAAGCAGCGGAAATCCCTAATAATTATCATTCCCAATATATTGATATGAATTATCATTATCATCATCCATCATCATACATTTCTACTGGTTCTCATACTTCTGTACATTACAGAGAACCTTATCCGGTTAGAGAGGTATTTATTAAATTAATTAATTAATTAATAAAATTTTGATTTCAAGTTAATTATGGATTATTGATTAATTTTTTATTACTTGGAAACAAATTACCATGATTTCACATTTTAAGATTTCTGTAATCATTATATATATATATATATATATTTTATCAACAATAATATTGGGATTTTTTTAATATTTTGATTATAAATTTTAATTTCAGTCTCATTCTTCTTCTGTTACATCTTCATGTCAGGCAATAATACCTAATCACGATGATAAAGATGGTCATTACATTGTTAGAATTGGAGAAGATCTAACACCAAGATGTAAATAAATATTTTTTCTCCCTTGATTAAATGATGATATAATGATATACTTGTGACAAGATAATTCGGCTAATATTTTAATTGTTGATTAATTTGCATTATTTTAATATAGATCAAATTATTCGTATATTGGGACAAGGTACCTTTGGAAAAGTTGTTCAATGTCTTGATCGACTTACAAACCGAACTGTAGCAATCAAGATCATTCGTTCAACTCAGAAGTATCGGGACGCTAGCCGAATTGAAATTAGAGTATTAAATATTCTTAGAGATAGCGATCCACCAAATGCCTAGTAGGTTCTATTTTTACGATTTATTTTTATGTATTATCATTATTACATTGAGAATGGCTAATGTTAACAAATAATCATTGATTCTTTCCTTAAACAATTAATTAATAATATAGCAAATGTATTCATCTTCGTGATTGGTTTGATTATCGTAATCATATTTGTATGGTCTTCGATTTATATGGATCATCACTTTTTGATTTTCTAAAACTCAACAATTTTTCACCATTTCCGATGAATCAAATACAAGATGTTGCAAGACAATTATTGAATTCTGTTGCTTGTATGTTTTTTAAGAAAAATTTATTATTATTGTTGTTGTTATTATTATTATTATTATTATTATTATTATTATTATTATTATTTTGGAAAGAAATATTTACTTTGGATTTGCCCATTTATCTACATATATATATATATATATATATATATATATAGTCTTGCATTCATTACGATTGGTACACACTGATTTAAAGCCTGAAAATATTTTATTGGTTAATGATGATTATAGAGTGATATCATCTAGAGTAAGTGTAATTTTAATAAATTATTAATGAATTATTACATGAATATAATATAAAATTAATATAAAATGAATATTTGTACTTTCTACCTTTTTTTCTAGAGAGTACCTGATAATCCAAAGCGTATACTTATTGATACTGACATTAGATTGATTGACTTTGGCAGTGCTACATTCGATGACGAATATCATTCCTCAGTTGTATCGACAAGACATTATAGAGCACCAGAGGTTATACTAGGTATTTGTTTGTTTGTTTTTTTTTATAAAATATATTGGAAGAATGCAAAAAGTAGAAAGATATATCGAACTAGTCCATAAAGATCATAATTTCCACCTATTATTGTAATAATAATAATAATAATAATAATACTTGGAAATATTTTATTAAAGGATTAGGATGGTCTTATGCATGTGATATTTGGTCTATTGGATGTATTCTTGTAGAACTATTTACTGGCGAGGCACTTTTCCAAACACATGAAAATCTAGAGCATCTAGCAATGATGGAACATGTTCTTGGAGAAATTTCGGATAGTTTGATTCGACAAACAGAGTATGAATTATTTATTTGTTTGACAATTTACTAATATTTAAATGACAAATTATTAATATAAATACTTGTTTATTTAGTCGACAATGTCAGACCAAGTATTTTAGAGGAAATAACTTGGTTAATTATCCATGTGAAGCCACTACCAAAAAAAGATTAAAATATCTAAAGTCAATGCGTACATTAAAAGTAAGTTCTTATTTAGTAATATATAATTAACATACATATAGAACAAGCATTCAATTATAATTATAATTATAATTATATACAATTATTAGGAAATCATTGATCCTGATAGAAGTACGTTTCGAGGATTATTTTATGATCTTGTTAAACAACTTTTAGAGTATGATCCAATTTACAGAATAACAGCTCGAGATGCTCTCAGGCATCCTATTTTTTATTATACTTTTGATGAAGATGGTAGAAAACTCTGGTGAAAAGGGAAAGATAGTAACAACAAGAATTGTATTGTTATTGTAATTAATATTAAAATTATTTGATTATATTGGAATAATTTATTTATTTATTAAAAAAAAATCAAACTTGTAAATATAATTAATTAATTGATCAATTGTTCAGGGGCCTTTGTTTCACTCCATCAAAACCAAAACAAGTTTAATTATTATTACTGTTGCTATTAATGTAATAAAATATTGTCTTTATGTTTTATTGATTTTTAAAAATCTTATATTTTTAATTAAAATATTATTATTATTATATTATTATTATCAATAAACATTTGATTTTATGATTTTTTATTTTGCATGAATAATAGATAAGGTAAGGTTTAGATAATATCAATAATATTTCTTTTTAATTTTATAAATATTAATTAATTTTCTCCTTCATTTTTGATTTCTTTGGATTCTCTTATATATAGTTAAAAAAAATTTCAGAATCATCATGTGAATGATGATGCAATTTGTAAATATAATCAATACTTAATAAACAGGAACTAGGAATCCCATCCAATGTTCATATGTTCATCTACACACAATCACATTGGCCTTGCAGATCAAAATTGGGAAATCATACATGGTTTTGCTGATAATTATTGAGCGATTAAGTCACAAGTTTACTATGTCAAATCTCATAATGCCGCGGAGATCATGTTACAAAGTTTGTATTATGTGACATAACCCCGCACTGAATTTCATATCTTTTTTAGAAAATCTCCCTTTTATCATTTTTGAAGATATGTTGTTGATCGTTTTTTCCTTTTTTTAAAGCAAAAAAATTCTAGAAATGGAGCACGCACGATAATCAACACATTTGTGATTGATTATATATCGTTACATTGACTATTTATTATTATGCATCTATAGTTAGCTAATTTAATTAATTGTAACCATCTAATTTAAATGATTTTTTTATCTTAAATTCTAATAATAATAATAGTAGTTTTTTTCGGTAAATTATTAATCAAAAAATTATTCATATAAATTGTCATAAATAAACTTTCCATCGAACAAAAAAAAATGATTAGTAATGAATGATGATGTATGTTCAAATAGACAATAAAGTGTTCTTTTTAATATAAAATTTAGTTTTTAATGTTTTTAATGTCACAAAAGATTATATCAGAATTTTTGAATTGACGCCATTTTCGCAGACTTCTATTGGATCTGGCTCAACACAGACACGCATGGTAAAAAAAAAAGAATTTAATCTACTACCATATTTAAAATATATATATATATATAATCTTCAAAGCTCATGAAAAAAATTTTTCATCAAAAAAAAAAATATTCGCTTTAAAAAAAAAAAAAAAATCCTCATTTTATATTTAAAAAAAAAAAAATTAATAATAATAATACACTCGAGTATTTACGAAACGCACAAATTAAAAGAAAAATGTCAAACTACAACAAGAACAAATTAATTGAATCTAATGAAAATAAAAGGCACTTGTTAATTACGCCGGCGCATTTAAAATTCCTTAACGAACGTTTAGCAAAATTATCTCCTCAAAAGATATTGGAATGGGCAATACTAACTTTGCCAGGATTATATCAAACTACTGCATTTGGACTTACAGGTAAAAAAAATTTTTTTAATAAAAAAAAAAATAAACGTAACGAGTGTAATAACGCGTGTAATTATTAATTAGTTGGGAAAATTTTTTTTAACAACAACACAAATAATAACAATCTATTATTTTTATTATTATTTTCAAATTATAATTTTTAAAGGACTTGCAATCGTGGATATGATATCAAAAATAAGTTACGAAATTGACGAAAACGAGACAAACCCACAACATTTGGTGCCTTTGATATTTCTTGATACCCTTTATCATTTCCAAGAAACATTAGATTTGACCGAACGTGTTAAATCAAAATATAACGTACCACTTTACGTTTACAAACCAGTTGATTGTAACAAAGTTCAAGATTTCGAAAGACTTTACGGCAAAAGGCTTTGGGAAACTGACGAAGATAGTTATGATTATTTGATAAAGGTTGAACCCGCAAGACGGGCGTATGAAGAATTAGGTGTTTTAGCTGTTATCACTGGTCGTCGTCGTAGTCAAAAAGGTGACCGAGAAAATCTTGATATATTGGAAATAGAAAGTGGAACTGGCTTAATAAAAATAAATCCATTGGCTCATTGGGATTTTCCAAAAGTACGAGCTTACATTAGAGCAAATGAGGTTTGTGTTTTTTAAAAAATTTATTTTTCGATATTTTTAATATTTTTTTTTAAAAAAAAAAAAAAAATTAAATAATAACGATAATAAATTTATTTATTTTTTTATATTTATTAGGTACCATACAATGCATTGATCGATCAAGGTTATCGATCAATTGGTGATTGGCATAGTACAAAACCAATTAATGACAACACCGCAGATGAACGAAGTGGTAGATGGCAAGGAAAAAATAAAACGGAATGCGGTTTACACAAAGACTATTTCAAAATGAGAACTGCTTTTATCGCTTCTCAGAAAAAACGAAAATTTTCAAATAATCCTAATAAAGCTCTAGAAGCAACAATCAAAGTTACATAAATTTATTAATATTTTTATTATTAATATATTATTACTCTGCATTTTTGTTTTAGAATTCATTTATATTAATTTTCAAATAATTATTATTAAATCAAAAGTATCACATTATTTGCATTATATTATTAAAGTAGTTTAGATTAATTTTTTTTTTTTGTTCCAAAGTACATAAAATCGAATTAATTTTTTTTTACCAGAAAATTTTTTTTAATTAAAAAATTATGTTCAACATTTATTTATATAAAAATATCTTGAAAGACAGATATAGATCTAATCGAGGACCAATTCAAAAAATAAAAAAATAATGAATAATTAAAAATATTCGCACATTTTGTTTAATTGTTTTTTTAACATTATTTCTTCAATTCAATTCAATCATATTCACCTTTCTAAACGATGTTTCTTTCTAATGTTCACATCGTATGGTTGGTTTTTCACCCTTGTACACTAATCATTTGTCAACAAACGATTCAACAACCTGCTGTTCAACAACAACCACCTCAACAAAATGGCGGAAACGGGAATGGGAACGAAAATGATGGTGGTGACGATAATGATAATGATGACGGTGGTGGAAATTGTAACGGTAATGGAAATAAGATCGATTCTGACAATTATAAAACATTTTACCATTGTATAATAAATTTTATTTTTTTAAAAACAATATGTCAAAATTATATTATAATAATAATAATAAAAAATAACAATAATAATTAATAATAATTAATAATATATTAAACCTATAATGATTAATGTACCTACCTCTTCTAATCCCTATATAGTCTACTTTATTATCTCGATTAGGACTTTTTTCCTCTATAATGCTCGACATCTTTGAATACCATGTATCATGTCAAAAAAATTTGAGATTGCCAGTTATTATTATTTCATAATTTGAATTTGTGATTTTCTAACGCAATTATCACATTATCACACTATATATAATATTATATAAAAATCTAAAAATCGTGTAACTATCACATACAGTGTAAATATTACACAATTTTATGCAAATATTTACAACTTGATAAATTTACTGATGTCATCATACTTTAATAATTTCAAATTATTATCGAACAGATTTATAAACCTTGCCGGTAAGAATATTTTATGTGATTGGGTTTTTACATGCATAAATTTCAGCATAACTTCAAGAAAATCCTTTATTTTTTGTTTTCCATTATGATTGTGGATCAAATAAGCATCGGCAGACGCCTCAAAAAGAAAATTGGTATTCCCATTTATCGCTTTCTGATATCATAAAAAGATATTTCGATATGTGTTTGGAGTTGTTAAGGTTTATTTGAAAAATGTACGAGAAATCATTTAGTAAACGATGGTCTTATATCCAGAGTTCATGGCAATTAATGCTAAAATACCATCCCATTTCTATGAGCTGAGCCATTAAGAAAATATAGAAAACACCCTATTCTGATTTAGAGGGACGAGTGTTTGAAATGATTCGTGTAATTCTTTCTGTAAACTCTTGAAATTTTGAATAACTTTTTTCTAAAAAGATGGAGAGTGCCTTTTCATATTCAGTAGAAGTATCTTATTTATTATTCTTTATTCATATACCTTTTATTGTTACATAAATATTATTGTTTACAATTTGTTTACATGCCTATCAACATCTCTATCCATCAATTCCAAAAGTAACCTAAGACCAGTTTATTTGATATATTTGTTATTTCGATTATTTTGGATATTTGGAGGGATACTCGAAATTAATTTGGATATTCGTAATGATTCACAAATATTCGTAGTTTACAAATCATCTTATTTGGGAATCAAAATGAATATTTATATGATTACGAAATAATTACGAATAATTATGAGTATTAATAATACCAATTTGAAATAATTAGGATGGCTACAAGTATCCATAATAATAATTATTATTATTACGAGTATTCGAATATAGACATGAATTACGGGCAGGACCATATTCCATAAAGGTATTGTGGTCACAGGACCTAAAATATAAATTCTTTTGCCCGACAAGCATTTTATGTTTGATATATTTATTCCTTGATTTGTAATAGTAATAGTAAAATCGTATAAATTTAACACAGCCTCATAATCCGAAACTACCCAAACTATATTGGTGAAAATTTAACCTAAATTAATCTATCATCTTTTGTTAAAATATTAAGTTTCGGGTTCCCGAGTGAGCTCCTCTCTCGAAACTCCGAAATAGTTTTTGGCCTCAAAATTAAAATAATGGGCAATCCTAGATTTGTAATGCATTGTGATAAATTTTCTTTTTTTTTTCGTGAGCTTACAAACATTTAAATTTAGCCGATATTTCAATGATTGGTAGCTGGAAATTAAGTTGATCTATTGATTAAATTTTATATCTCGATTATTAATCGTTTCAGAGCCAGAACGGAATGAATACTTGGCAATTTTCCCCGATTCTGGAATTCT